AAAAAAAATAAATAAAAATAAAATAAAATAAATAAACATTGGTGAGCTCTGCACCTGGTGTCGATTAACATCTATTAAAAAAAAATAATTCTGCCAATTTCAGTTATGTTGAAATCATACCTTTTCAGGTTCAAATCTTCCCCAAACTGATGTCCACAGATTTTTCATACAATAAACAGTTTGCGTGAAATGCAAAAGCAAAGCTGACATTGATGGACAGCAACAATGCAGTGATTTAGTATATTATAACTTATGATCTTATGAACTTATGATCTGGTTTTGCTCTGATTCTCTGAATCATGTTTACGTCAAAGTATCTAATGCTTGGCCCCATAATTGCTGCACAACTACATGTTTAATTCGATTCTTTACTGCACTTATTTGATAAATCATCTCTTGTGTTTTACATTAGAAATCCAACCCTGAATCAAAAAGTAGTGCGATCATATACCAAAAATATCCATAAAATGTGACTTTGTACCCTAAAAACATCCCTGAAGATGATCTCAACAGAACCATTTGCGTTTCTAGCCAATAAAGAACTTGTTTCCAGGTCGCTTTCTCTCCTATGAATCAGATCTTGTGCTGTTTGTACCTCCTGAATTTGTCAGCACAGACAGCTCTGCTCCTGCGCGTCCCAGCGGCTGAATGAGACATTAAGAACATGCTGGGACAGAAGTAAATGTGCCTTCATCAGTTCAGCTGCCACTGTCGGCAAAGGTTTTCATGAATAACTTTACCAAGCCAAACTTTTCTCTTTACAAACATCACTTTTACTCAATCAGCTGGTATTTTGGTGATTTTTAGTGGATCTATGAAGCCAGTTCTTCTCAAGATCTCACAGGTGTTACTTATCAGTAACTAAACCATTAAAAAAATATCGTTACTTGAGACAAAGTAAACGTTAAATAAAATATAAACAAATGCAAAACTGTAAGCTTATTTTATTTCGGCTAATTGCCAATGCAACATTTATCATTTCTTATAGTTCAACTTTAGTACTCAAGTACCAAAATAACTAAAACTAAAACTAATAAATAAAAATTGACAAAATCTATGTAAGACATATTTAAAGTTAATATTTACAGAACTCAAAATGACGAAAATGCACAATAAAATTGCTGAAACTTTAAAAATAAAGTGAAAAGGGATAAAAAAAAATTAAACTACAAACTAAATACTACTTTTAAAATAAAAAGTAAACTTATTTTATTTTATTTAGCTAGTTGCCAAGGCAACTTTAGTTTAACTTAAGTACTACAATAACTCAAACTAAATAAACTACAACGAATAAATAAAAAAAAATTATAAAATATAGACTAATAAAAATGACAAAAGTGCACAAACTTTAATTAAAAAAGAAAAAATATACATAATTCAATATATTTAAAACAATTCATAACTAGAAGCAAAGTAAATGTTAACTAAAATAAAATAGAAAAAGTAAACTTATTTTTGGCATTAAATTGTTTGAAAAAAATAATTGCTAGGGATAATTTAGTAGTCGCTAAATTGCAAAAATTACGAAAACTTTAATTTAAATGTCATGATGTTGTATCATGAAAACAGTCAAATCAAAACAGATAATACAAATATAAAAACATATTTAAAATATTTTTTAAAAACCTGTAATAGTATCTCATTGACACTAAAAACAACACTGTTCACAACTTAAAAATAAATAAAATAATAAAATAAAATAATTGTATTTTTAAAATAAAAATAATTTGTTTTACAGAGTATATCAACGATA